TTTCAAATGTGATTCTGTTTTTTGTTTCAAATGTGATTCAGTTTTTTTCCCAAACGTAATTCTGGCCAATTCTGCTTTGGCTTAATGTAATTCTGTTTTTTTCAAATGTAACTCATTTACACCTTAGGGTCACCGTACTTTCAGCTACTACCACACCAAGTTTTAGCTCAATATCTTTAAAATTGACCTAATGTAGACATTATTCTGTTAAAAACTTCTAGTTGAACTTTCAGTGGTCATGTGCTCAGAGTTCCACTAAAATCCATCCAGTGGTTCATGAGATATTTTGCTAACGGACAGCTGTGACTCACAGTTGATACCAACATCGAGATATTTTGCTAACAGACAGCCGTGACTCACAGTTGATACCAACATCAAGAGATATTTTGCTAACAGACAGCTGTGACTCAGTTGATACCAACATCAAGAGATATTTTGCTAACAGACAGCTGTGACTCAGTTGATACCAACATTTTAAGCATGAATATTGTGCAAAGTATGTGTTTTGTATTAGGTTCGCCTACTACCACACCAGATTTCAGCTCAGTAGCTGTAAAACTGATAGACTTGTAGCTATTTTTGAGTTTTGTAAAGCTCGTTGGCTGCGGCGGCCATCTTTAATTGGTTTAACTCCAAACATTAATCACTTGTAGATGTTTAACCAGTGACGGTTTTATTAAAATACTCCCAGTGGGTTGTGAGATATTTTGCTAACAATCAGACATAATCGCCTCCAAAGCTTCAAAGGCTTTGTTGGGATCACTCTAAACTACTACCACAGCAGATTTCAGCTCAGCCTTTGTATAACTGAACAAGTCATAGACATTTTTGTGTTTGTGAATTTAGCTTAGCTGCGGCAGCCATCTTGAAAAGGGTCGCTCCAAACATCATTGAGTTTTAGATGCACATCCGGTGATTAATCCTCGAGAGTTTCATTAAAATACTTCTGGTGGTTCATGAGATATTTTGCTAACAGACACACAGAGACAATACAGCTGATAAGAAACAAGCGAGCAGCAGCAGAAACAAAGTGAGGTGAAAATCATTTAGGAGATAAAAAAAAAAGATTACAGCATCCTTATCTTTGCATTTTATTCTTTTACATTCCACTTGATCGTCTTTGCATCCGTCCCAAAACAAAACGCGTTTTTATTTTGGGTTGTAGGTAGTTTAGAGGAAACATGGCTCCCTGGACGAGAGGCGGTCCAGTTTCTCAGCTCAGCAGAGGATAACACGGTCGGATAAAACCGGTCCAGTCCAGGCGGACTTTCATCTGTCAGAATGAGCCAGAAGTCTGCAGCCTATTCTCCATCTGCCCCTTTGGGTCCTGATTGGTTCTCCCTCGGGTCTGGATCAGAAGGAGGCCACGCCCCTCAGGAAGGCAGCTTCAGGTAAAACAGAGGTCCAGTTCTCAGAGGAAGCTCACGCCTGAGACAGAGCGCACCAGGAGTTCTGTGGCGCTAACGAGGACACGGTGAACTGGTAGTCCTCATACTTAATGTCCACATGTCCAGATCCTGCGCTGTCCAGCTGAGACACTGTCTGCAGAAGACAAAGACACAACTTTAACATTCAGAGGGGGAGTGGTGGCGCAGAGGCTAGAGAAGGTGGGCCTGTGATTGGAAGGTCGCCGGCTCAACTCCCTGTACCGACAACGTCAAAATGTGGGTGGGAAAGGTGTCCAGGCCCCAAAGAGACGTTAGTGTATTCACCAGTTTGGACTAACTGTCATGCAGACGCTGCATGGACAATGAATGCAGCTGAGTCAGGGTTGCCAGATAAATGTAAAATGTCTTATTTACCCCCTCCTTTTCTGTGCACATGTTCAACAAACACAACACACACCTCATCTTAGATTATCTTTACTCAGCACATGTGACAGTTTAGGTCCAAATATTATCATTTTATAGCCACAGCACTATAGTTCATAATTTCTTATCTGGCAACCCGACTCGCATGGAAACAACAGCGTTTTTGTGTAAACCCGCTCATTTTTTGTTTATTACGCCCAATAAACATTGAAAAACACTAACGTTTCCAGAGGATGTTCTGTGTGAACGGGGACTTATAGCAGGTAGATCTCTTGGACTTGGTGATTTTAAAAGGAGCTCCATGATGAAAACATCTGGACACCCCTGAAATCAATCAATCAATCAACCAATCAACCTTTATTTAGACAGGTAAATCCCAATATAGGGTAATAAGGGAAATAGGGAAATAAAGGTTAAATTAAAAACCTATTTTTTTAAATTGACGTAAGGAACCCATAAAAGTTCTGTCGTCTTTGTTTTTACTTCAGTTTTCAGCTCAGTTAGGATTTGTCCTGGATTTTCCCTCAATCCTTGAGTTTTTTTTTTTGTCTTATTTTTCTATAAATAAAACAACCGGAGCGCTCTGTTGGAAACGCAGCAAACAGACCAAAATAAAACTAGAACAATCTGTAACAATCCTGGGAATAAATCTGAAGAGTTTGATAACACAAGTGAAAATATCCTGCACGAATTATACATCTTTTAATCTCAGTTTGATGCTTAATCCCACGGTATAAAAACAGTAAAATGCAGATTAATGTAACTTTTTTTTTTTTACGTCTGAGAAGGAAACTAGCTAAACGTGTCACAAAGATGCTTTAACGAACCGCGCCTCGATAAGAAGCCGGTTTCGTCGGCTGCTCTTCCTCTGATGGGAGGAAGCCCAGAGGAGAGGTTACCTGAGAGCCAGGTGTGACGCTCTGACCCGTGTAGGGCGACGGGGCCACGCCGGGCTCACTCTTAACGCTGCAGGCGCGCTCCGAGACGGACAGGGAGGACGGGGAGCTGGTGTCGGACGTGACGGAGCCTAAAGGACCAACAGAACCAGAAGTTTCAGCTCGTGTTCCTGTCGTTCTGAGGCAGTGTTCAGCTCAGAGCTCTGTTCAAAACACTTCTGCACATTTAGTGTTTCTTTAGCTGTTCATTTACCAAAACATTCGGCTGATTTAGAAGATGGGCGACATTTGGTTTAAACTTTTCTAAATATTTCACTTTAGTAACAAAGATTTCCTCTTAGTTATTTTCATTTCTTTAGTTACTTATTTTGCTATTTTTTTTTAGCTTTTAGTAGGCTGTTTATACATTAGATAGCTTGTCGCTACTTTTAGCTTCTAGCTTTTGCTCCATTTAGCATTTAGCTAATGTTCTGCTCCTTTTAACTTTACGCTTGCACTCTGCTCTTTTTAGCTTTTGTTCTGCTCCTTTTTAGCTTACAACTAATGCTCTGCCTCTTTTAGCATTTAGCTAATGTTCTGCTCCTTTTAGCTTGAACTCATTTTCAGCTTTTTAAACAAAATAAAACAAAACGATTAAGACTGTTTTAGTAAAATTGTAATTTGTCTAGTTTAAATTATTTTACCGCAAATGAAAGATTCATAACAGGTTTACGACAGATTAAATAAAACACATTTACGACAGATTAAAACAGATTAAAACATAATTACGGCAGATGACAACATATGAAAACGAATTTACAACAGATCGAAACATATTTACAATAGAATTAAACAGATTAAAACAAAATAAAACATATTTGCAACACATTAAAACATATTTTAAAACATATTTACGACAGATTAAAACGTATTAAAACATATTTACGACAGATTAAACTGTATTAAAATATATTTACGACAGATTAAAACATATTTTTGACAGATTAAAACAGATTAAAACATATTAACGACAGATTAAAACGTATTAAAACACATTTACCACAGATTAAAACAGATTAAAACATATTTACGACAGATTAAAACATAT